CGTCAGCACCGTAGGTGTAGCTGAAGAAGGTACGTTGTTGTCTTGACATTTTTTTTTGGAAACTTCAAAAGTTCATGATTTCGTAGTGGGAACTCCCTTTTCTGTTCAGTTCAGTGGTATAGGTGATATTGCAAAATTTGTTTTTTTAATAAAAATTTCTTTATTTGCTTAGATTTTACTCATTTTTCAATAGCTTTTTAACAATCATTGCAATTCGCTTTTTTAGTTTGTGAGTATTGATTGCAAGTAGCTAGAAAATTCAATTTTTTTTGAAAATTTTATAGTAATTTATAATAATAAAAATAATTAAATAAAAAACATTCTAGGAGTTAATCCTAATCTAAAATGTATATTTTGTAGTCTAAAAACTTTTTATAGCATTTAATGATAAAAGCTTGAGTTTTCAAGTGTAGCTTACACTTTTAGGCTGAGTTCTTTTGGGAAACATTAACATAGCAATGGAATTAGGTATTATACTACACAGAAAATCTCGTTACATGTATGATGTATCAGATACTTTCGGTGAGCACCAACGACTACAATAAGCAAAATTTCTAAGGTCAAATCTCGATTCTTTTATCAAATAGTTCACCATTAATGGATGTGAGTGAGTTGAACGTCTTTTCTATATTTTGACAGTTGTGTGATGTTAGAAACCGTAACATTGATCTTCAGTTCTTATAACATGTTATGAACTTTTACCAAAAAAAAAAAAAACATGTTATGAACTATTTATCTTCGTGATGGGCAGACAAGGTCCAGCTTCCCAGTATGGGTGGATATGTCTCGTCGAGGAAGTTCTCGCTATTGCCTGGCTTCCATTCCCAGTCCCTAAAGAATGCAACTCTAATCATCATCTTCATAATTTGGTGATTTGGGATGTTTCTTAATAGAAAAGAGCAAGGGAAACATACCACAAATGTGTTGGGGACAGTGTCCTGAAGAAGGCCATGTGAACTAGAGCTTTGATGACGGATTCTAACCAATTTGCCCTGGTTTCTTAATGCCAATGCTGTTGGATTCGAGAACGTATACTTAAATAAAAAACTTGCTCTTGCAG